GGAGGGGCGGAGGAGGGGCGGAGGAGGGGCGGAGGGGGGGGGGAGAAGGGATGGGCAAGACAAAGCGGCGGAAAGGGGAGGAGGGCAATGCCAGCTGGAGGACGTACGGATTCAAAAACGACAAGAAAAGAGCAGCAAGCCCTGGGGAGATCTACTTGGGCGCGCCAGGCGTCAAAAATAGATCCTCGGGCGGAAGAGCGAGGGAGAGTGGGGCAGGAGGCGAGGAAAGGGGAGAGTGGAAGAATCCCCTGAGAGGGATCAGGCGGCGAAGCGGGAGCAGAGCGAGCAGGAGGGAGGGCCAAAAGAGAGGGAGGGAGGGAGGGAAGTCTCGAGGATCTCTGACTCTGGATGCCAGAGGCCGGAGGATCGGCCAGATGGTGGCGCGGTGGCAGAAAAGGGTGCCGCTGATCCCGGTCCCTCTGCCCTGGCCCACCCACCCTCTTGCCGCCCGCCCCCTGTGTCCCCTTTGCCACCACCCCCCGGTGCTGGGCGCGGTACGCTCCCCGCCCCCCCGCTCGCCCTCTCACCTTTCCTTGCCTCTTTTGTCCGCCCACTGGTGCCCTCTGCGCCTGGCATCCTGGCCGGGGGGGGGGGGGGGGGGGGGAAACGTCTGCATGCGGGTGTGAGTGTGGGTGTGTGTCCGCCGTGCGCCGGCTGGCCGGGGGCGTTGACACCACACCCGGCTGCCCTGGCCCAGGCCGGAACCTAATACCCGGTATGGATGGTTCTCCTGTTTGAAGTGTCTCGGTTCCCCAGTCCGGGGGGGGGGGAGGGGGGAGGCGCCCCTCTGGCTGGGCACCCGATCTGCCCCGGACCGAGGGCGAGGGGCACGGGCCCTTCTCGCCTGGATGGTAGGTCTTCCGTCCTTCTGGCGGTTTGTATTCGCCCCCCCCCCCCCCCCTGGCCTCGTTGTCGTCTCGCCCTCGTCCAAGCACCCCAATACACACTGACACGCATATCCACACCCAGCCACCCCCTCCCCCCCACACGCATGCGCCGCCAGCCCGTGGGGGTGACTCAGATGGTTAAAATCCCAGGTCGTCGCTGAGTCTGCGGTCGCGGTGATTCAAAAGCACCTCTCCTGGGAGCTTGCCTTCGCTCGGCCCGGCTTCCGGACGCACGGTGCCCGCCAGCACACCACTCTGTTGGGCCTCCGCACCCCCCTTAAAACCCCTGCCACTTTCCAGATCGCCGGGGTGCGAGGCGTAAACCGGCCCACACCGCACCAGCAGACCAGGCAGGAGGGATGTACTGAACGCGCTCTCCGATCGGAGCGGGCCGGCAGTTGAGGAGTGGCATTTAGGATACAACCTGCCGGGGATCATATCACGCCCATCAGTCGGAGGGAGGAGCAGGCACATGACCACATCACCATGGCACCGCCACTCGGCCAGGGACTCCGTCCTCGGGGCCTCTTTTACGCCCTCCCCCTCGGCAAATATGCGCCCCGGCGGGTGGCGGGCATGCCAGGGGGGCGGGGGCGGGCCGAGTGCCTCTCTCTTGCGTGTTGGCGAGAACCCCGCTCGGACGGGGGGGTGCACTTGCGCGCGCCACCAGCAGCAGCAGCAGCACCCTGCCCCTGCCACCAGGCCGGGTGCTCGAGATCCAAGTGCCCCTGAGGCGCCGGTGTCCCCCTGGCGATGCCCGACACAGGGGCGAGGGCGAGGGCCCGGAGGGGGAGGCAGTTCCAAGTGGTCTCGGCGCCGATCTGCATCCGGGACCGGCGCGCAATCCACCGCGAGAGACCCTGGATGGCCGGTTGTTCGCCCGCCCCCGCCTCACGCCCTCGCTAGCGGTCGGGGGGGGGGGATGGGTGCCGGCATTCGCCGGGGCGCACAGATGGCCAGGAGGGGGTGGGGGACGATAGTGCGGCAGGGCTGTTCGCCTTGTGGCCCGGCCTTCGTCGCCTCCCTCGCCGCGCCTGGTCCCGCCCCGCGGCGACGAGCACCTTGGCGATCTGGCCACCTGGCGGGTGCCCTTTTTCGCCCGGTCAGGAGGCAGCACGAGAGATCCAGGGCTAGATCTCCGGTCTGGCGCCCGGGCAGAGGCAGGAGCGTGTGGGCTCGGGGGGGGGGGGGGGGGGG